TCTGAGCCTGGGCTCAGCAAAGTCTAGGAATAGATAATGTTGGCTCCCTGCCCAATAAGGTGAATGGCCTCCTGTGCGACTTAGTGGTGGCTCGCCAAATCCCATGTGCCCAAGTTCAGGGAGCCCTTCTTTCAAAGGATGCTGTGTCCTCTGAAAGAATTATTTTTAGACAGAAAAGCAAAAAATACTGGAAATTGAACTTCAAGATGGATGGATTATTTTGTAAGTATCTTGTTGCTATAATTAAGCTTAAAACTTAATCTGGACAAATTACATGCAAAAGAATAATGACAATTACTTATATTTCTTGTTTATGTTGAGTAAGTTTTACATGCCGTTATTCTTGTTTTATCTCCATTAGTCCATTCAACCCCATGATGGAGGTACTATAATCCCCATTTTATAGAAGAAGAAAATACAGAGAATTTAAATAATTATTAATAGTTCTTAGTTACATAAAATAAACGCTAGGGATAGGACTCAAAGCCAAATTTTGAGGTTCTAGAGAGCTAAGAGAACTTTTGAATGAGATTATCGAATTATTGTTGGTGATCTTTGAGAAAGTTTAGGGAACTAGAAATACTATAGAAGTCTATAATGCGTGTAGTTCACATTTTTGCTGCTCAGTATTTTCCTGAAGAAAATGTCCAATGCTGTTAAATATTGTTATAAATTATTTTGGAAAGATATAGAAGGTAGCTTTATCAAATTTTCCAGAAAGACCTTTTTAGGGCTTCTAGTTGGCCATGATGTATGTAGGAGTTAGAATGGAATGCAGAGCACTACCACTTCCACTCCCCAGATTTTAGACTTCAGTGTAAGCAGCACAGGAACTAGAAAAAGGAAATTTATTATTCTCTCTAGACAAGTCAGGGCCCTCTGTAGTATTTATTCTGTTTGGCTCTAAGCCCTCCATTTCAAGGGAAGTGTGGAAAAACTAAGTTATTTTGGTAATCAATTTTGAGAATTATAAAATGATTCAATCTAGTCATTGGAAGAGTAGTTAAAGAATTGTGGACATTTAGCCTGGAAAAGGGACAGCTTCAAGGAAACTAAGAGGTATCTTCGGTACTTGAAGTACTAACACATATGAAAATGATTGTAAAGTTAGGGAGAATCAGAGCCAGTGATCAGATGTTAATGAAGACAGACATTGGCTTGACATGAAATGGTCAAATCTCACAGATGGAATGGCTGCCTGGAAAGGCATTTCCTTTCACCAGCATCTGTGCGCATGTGCATCCGGAAGCTGAACAGACACCTGAAGATGTGAAAAAAGACACAAGCACAGAGCAAGTGGTTGGGCCACATGACTGTTAGGGCCACTTCCAACTCTGAGGTTCTGTTTCTATCATTCTATGAAGTGATTCAAGACAATCAGCTGAGCTGCTGTGCTTAATCAAGTATAGAAGTCATCTATTGCACCTTGCACTTCTCATGCTGCAAACACTAGCATTAGCCGAATTGGTAAAAACAAGAAGATGAACAACAAAATAACATGTTATTTCAAAAAAAATCTCTTACATCTAATGAAATGATTGATCTTTTGTCCTCACCCCTTTTTTCAGTGCTTTCTCCTGCTCAAGACAGCCACATGTATGTGGATCTCCCCCCAGTGTCGGATCTGATCATGCGGACTCTGAACGAACTTGCCAAGTCGTTCCAGGATATGGCTGACCGCTGCTTGCTGGTCTTACATCTGGAAGTGAGGTATGGCACAGCAAAGCAGAGGACTTTGCGATTCATAAATCACTTGCTTATTTCTGGTGAGTAGCACCATAGTTTTTGACTCTTATTATGATATTGTCCTTTTTCTTACACTGAAAGCAATTTTTAGCATTATTCAGTCACTCTTAAAGTATCTGAACACATGCTGTACTGTGAGGGGGGTGATTCAGAGTTGGCATGGCCTATGAAATCAGAATGACCTGGATTCGAATGTCCATACCAACTGGCTAGGTGATCTCAAGTCAGTTAATCGGCTTTACAAACTCTCAGTTTCCTCATCTTAAAAATGGAAGTGGTAATTTCTAATGTATAAGGATTTTGTAAATGAAATAATAAATAATTGGCACAATGTTGGCCATATAGTGAGTGCTGAAAATGTGGTAGTTTTGCAATTATGATGACTTCATTGTTATTGATATTTTTACTAAGGTGCTCTGCTAGTCAAGAAGGGAGTTTACAGATGTCAG